CAAATTTAACCCCATTCACACCCGAGACCTTGTAACACTAATGAGTCACATGACACCAGGGAGAGAAAACGGCTAATTGGCTAATTGGGGGACATTTTCACTTAGGGGTGTACTCACTTTTGTGGCCAGCTGTTTAGACATTAATGGCTGTGTGTTGAGTTATTTTGAGGGGACAGCAAATTTACACTGTTATACAAGCTGTACACTCACTACTTTACATTGTAGCAAAGTGTTTATATTGCAGCCATTTGCTAAAATCATTTAAGTTATTTTTTTTTCCTCATTAATGTACACACAGCACCCCATATTGACAGAAAAACACAGAATTGTTGACGTTTTTGCAGATTTATTAAAAAAGAAAAACTGAAATATCATGTGGTCCTAAGTATTCAGACCCTTTGCTGTGACACTCATATATTTAACTCAGGTGCTGTCCATTTCTTCTGATCATCCTTGAGATGGTTCTACACCTTCATTTGAGTCTAGCTGTGTTTGATTATACTGATTGGACTTGATTAGGAATGTCACACATCTGTCTATATAAGACCTTACAGCTCACAGTGCATGTCAGAGCAAATGAGAATCATGAGGTCAAAGGAACTGCCTGAAGAGCTCAGAGACAGAATTGTGGCAAGGCACAGATCTGGCCAAGGTTACAAAAAATTTCTGCTGCACTTAAGGTTCCCAAGAGCACAGTGGCCTCCATTCCTTAAATGGAAGACGTTTGGGATGACCAGAACCCTTCCTAGAGCTGGCCGTCCGGCCAAACTGAGCTATCGGGGGGGAAGAGCCTTGGTGAGAGAGGTAAAGAAGAACCCAAAGATCACTGTGGCTGAGCTCCAGAGATGCAGTTGGGAGATGGGAGAAAGTTGTAGAAAGTCAACCATCACTGCAGCCCTCCACCAGTTGGGGCTTTATGGCAGAGTGGCCCGATGGAAGCCTCTCCTCAGTGCAAGACACATGAAAGCCTGCATGGAGTTTGCTAAAAAACACCTGAAGGACTCCAAGATGGTGAGAAATAAGATTCTCTGGTCTGATGAGACCCAGATAGAACTTTTTGGCCTTAATTCTAAGCGGTATGTGTGGAGAAAACCAGGCACTGCTCATCACCTGTCCAATACAGTCCCAACAGTGAAGCATGGTGGTGGCAGCATCATGCTGTGGGGGTGTTTTTCAGCTGCAGGGACAGGACGACTGGTTGCAATTGAGGGAAAGATGAATGCGGCCAAGTACAGGGATATCCTGGATGAAAACCTTCTCCAGAGTGCTCAGGACCTCAGACTGGGCCGAAGGTTTACCTTCCAACAAGACAATGACCCTAAGCACACAGCTAAAATAACGAAGGAGTGGCTTCCCAACAACTCTGTGACTGTTCTTGAATAGTCCAGCCAGAGCCCTGACTTAAACCCAATTGAGCATCTCTGGAGAGACCTAAAAATGGCTGTTCACCAACGTTTACCATCCAACCTGACCGAACTGGAGAGGATCTGCAAGGAGGGATGGCAGAGGATCCCCAAATCCAGGTGTGAACAACTTGTTGCATCTTTCCCAAAAAGACTCATGGCTGTATTAGATCAAAAGGGTGCTTCTACTAAATACTGAGCAAAGGGTCTGAATACTTAGGACCATGTGATATTTCAGTTTTTCTTTTTTAATAAATCTGCAAAAATGTCAACAATTCTGTGTTTTTCTGTCAATATGGGGTGCTGTGTGTACATTGAGGAAAAAAATTAACTTAAATGATTTTAGCAAATGGCTGCAATATAACAAAGAGTGAAAAATTTAAGGGGGTCTGAATACTTTCCGTACCCACTGTATATATATATATATATATATATATATATATATACACACACACACATACACATACCCAAATTTGATGCCAAAGAAATAAGCAAAGCTACACAAAAGCCTTCACACCTGATCTTCAAGACAACACTATAAATACAATACAGCTAGATCTAAGTCTGGATGATTACTTACATCAGTTTACATTGTCATTTCACTCAGCTAAAAAACTTTACAGAAATAATGTGTATTATGAAGCGCTGTATTATGCCGAAATCAAAGTCACGAGAACATCATTGGATATTCTGGTTGTTTCAATATATTTAGTAGATACGGAGTTCTCCATTGTGATCGTATCAGTCAGAATTCTTTTATTTTCACTGCATTCAAACAGAACATTACGTTATGTTGCCACTCAGTGGGTGTAACCGCAGTAACTTCCGCCTACTGTGATGTTGTCTGCATACCCTCTATACATTCAGTGTGTTTGCCAGGTGATGGTGTTAGTATCGTTTGATTTGTGGAGGAGTTATGATGATACAGAGACAGAACCAAAGGGAGGAAAGTACCTTCTCCAACGGGAATTTGTTTTTCCCAATAGAGGCAAGAGTTAGCTTGTATGATCCGACAAGTAGAAAGCTACTGGTGCGCACTGCGTTTGGACCACCGGGGCTAGACACAACTGAAAATGAAGAAACAAAGTGAACAAAAATTAATACTAATAACAGTTTGAAAATATTAGTTGAATTGAACAGCTTTTAAAAGCTCATTAATACTAACCAGGTGTTTGGAGGTTGCTCTTCTAAAATAGATGGGACCAAAAAAAAAGAACTTTACATTTTTTTATTGTTTATAACAAATGAATGTTATGGTACTGTATTACATGTCGTACAATATTAAATGCTGTATTACATATTACAATATTACATTACGAGGGAGAAAACATGCACGAGGTGAAGTGACCTTTAAATTAAAGATACATGAGGCCCTGTAGACTTATGCAAGCAGTTTTACATTCTTCAGTTTCATAAGTTATTTATTGATAGGTTTTTTTTTTGGAGACAGATTTTTATAAAAAAAAAAATCAAAAACCTCAAATCAAGATGAATATTGGGGTGTGGAATTTTTCCCCAGAGGAAGAATGAATTTGGCCTAAACAGATTTTTGATCATTTTGCGGAGTCTTCCGTTTTCACTGATTATTAATAATTGTCTTTAAAACATGGGTAAGTTTTTTTTCCACTTTCTTTTGAGCATCATATTTTCCTCTGAACATGAAGACGGAGTGTCCTTGAATAATAACAGTGTAACTGTAGTGATATATGGAATAATGTGCTTCAGAAATCATTCTAACATGCTGATTTGGTGGTGCTTAGGAAACATTTCTTAATCAGTTGAAAACAATTGTGCTGCTTAATATTTTTGTGGAACCCCTAATAAAGATAATGATTCATTGTTTAGTAGAAAAATAAAAAGAACAGCTTTTTTTTGTAACACTGTAAAAATGTCACTTTGATCAATTCAGTGTATACTTGCTGAATAAAACCATTAAAAAAAAATTCACCCCTTTTGACCAGTAGCATGTGTTGAGGTTAAAATGAACAGACTACTTACAGAGATAGCAAGGAACCTTTTTGGTGTGATAGCCTGTGGAGATAATTTAGGAAACATTTCTTAATCAATATGTTGAAAACAATTGTGCTGCTTAATATTTTTGTGGAACCCCTAATAAAGATACTGATTCATTGTTTAGTAGAAAAATAAAAAGAACAGCTTTTTTTTGTAACACTGTAAAAATGTCACTTTGATCAATTCAGTGTATACTTGCTGAATAAAACCATTAAAAAAAAATTCACCCCTTTTGACCAGTAGCATGTGTTGAGGTTAAAATGAACAGACTACTTACAGAGATAGCAAGGAACCTTTTTGGTGTGATAGCCTGTGGAGATAATTTTATTTCAGAGTAAAATATAGTGAACAATACTTATAACAGCTTATAATAGACAAAAACAGCACTACGGAGTACTACTGAGACTGAGACAAAAGGCCTTTTTAGTCAAGAAATGAATAAAAATACCCTTCACCGTGCACTTTGTTCAGACTGATGAGACAAGACATTAAAAAATAAATAAAATAACTTAAAACTGCTTGCACACCAGCAAGTGATGATTTTAAAACACAGCATACCAACAAGCATGCTTCCATGTCATGGAAATGCCTCAGGAGAATCTAGACATGCTGACTGCTGCTCTTTAGAGTAGCCGTTCATTAAAACTTAGTGTTACACACTACACTTCTTTGTACACCGAGTCATTTTAACCGTCTATGAGTCTACCTTTGACTTGAGCTTTTTCCTCTTGTCAGGGTTCAGCTCCCTTTTCTGAACCTAAGAGAAAAACAAACATTTACTAAATCTCTTTGATAAAGGTTTAATTTGTGTTCAAAAGGCATGCATTTCACTTGAAAGCAAATTAAAAAGCTGTACTTACAAAACAGTAGACCTCAATATCAATCTCAAAGTCATTAGAGACATCAGACCTGCACACAAGAAAAGTAATAATAGGATAAACACTACACTGAGGTGATAGGGATTGTCAAGAGTGGCTTGATAGGAAATAACACTTACAAAGTGAATCTGGTGGAGAAGGTCAAAGCATCACCACTTAGACCAGTGCGTGTGCTTGCTAGAGTCGTCGCCACTGTGTTCTCAGCTCCAGCACGGATCATCACAAAGTAGTAATGGTTTCCACATTCTTACATCACAATTATGACATGAGTGAGTGTCTGATTGGGCATTAAGGTGCTAAACAAAAAGTATATATATATATATATATATAAACCAGAAACACTCTCACCAGGCTTGTTGGCAGAAGAACAGATAAAGTCAGCCTTCAGAGGGAGTTGCAGCTCCAGCAGTGAGATGGAACCTTTAGAAGCAGGTATACCCACATCCACCTGGGCACTGCTTGTGCTTTTCTTTTGGGCTGTTGGACCCTCTGCTTTTAGCCGGTCCAGTTCAGCCTTCAGAGCAGTCCTCCTTTCAGCTGACGCAGAACAAAAGAAGTGATTAGTCCAAGTTTAAGAAATAAAATCATCTGAAACATTCACCCATGTAGCGCAAAAAGGAAAATATCACTTACTGGCAATAAGCAGCAGTCTCTCAGCCTCAGCCTCCACTTGAGCTCCTTTCCCATGTTCTTCATCTGTGCAGCAGTTGAGAGCCTGACTAGCCTGATGGATCACTGTCTGCTGCAGGTTCATCTCATTGGTCAACATCTGAGAACACAAAGTGGCATCATAAATTCCATTCAGATCAAAGACAGTTCACTCATATTACTGTGACTAGGAGAAACTGCAATGTGCAATAGGGCAAAATAAGTCCCGCCTTCTAATTAAAAGAGCCAGTTGCAATTGGTCAAGTAATTGCATCACTGCGGCTGTTGTTAGAAAGTCTAGTTCCCATCTAGTTTCCCATGTTTGCGCTTCTAAATGTGGCAAGTCACTAAGCTAACAGGTGCCAGCACAATTTATACATTGCATATATATATTTTTTATATATGGAAGAATAGATCTTAATTTCATCTATAAATTTCTCATGCTATAGCTGGTGGAGGAGGTCAAAGCATCGCCACTTAGACCAGTGCGTGTGCACTATTTGTTTTCATAATATAGCTTTCTAATAAACCTGGCATTGTATACTACAAATATTGTCTGGCTGCTTAGGTTCCTCTATTTTAAGTGACTTGATAAAACTGTCTGCTAAATTCATAAATGTAAAGTGTAAAATATAAGGCATACATAACTCATTGCTAAAAAGAAAATGCATGATTTTTAATTGACAGGGCCCAAATCATAAAAAAATAAAATAGATAACATTTTTGTACAGACCTTCATTTTCTGCTTGATGTTGATGTGACTGGAGCTCCCATTGGTCTCCATTCTCTGAGACACATCCTCTTTCCTCACTATCACCTGTTTAACATGAGGTCTCTCTGACTCAGTCTTAATCCTTGTGGATCTGTAGGCATCAATGCTAAAATCAAACAATCATGCATTAAATACAAATCATACTCAACAAATCAGATTGAATGTTGCTTGAAAAGAGACAACGAGCAGATGCACACCTGTAGAGAAGGTTCTGGTTTTGCTGCTCATCTACGACATCGATGCCGTCAGATGATCCAGCTCGTAACATGCGTGTCCTTTGGAACTTACTGGGTCTGGATACACTCTCAGGGGTGGAACTCTTCTCAATAAATGAGCTGGCAGGAGTCGATGTCTGGACCAAAATAAAAGTTAAATTGAGATGTAACATCAGTTTTCAAATTATTCAGCATTATCACTGTTTTTTTAGCAAAGGACTTACATCCTTAGGGCTCACCATAGGCTTTCTTTCTGGGCTCTTGACCACAGCTGCTACAGTCTCTGCGAGTGGAGCAAGGAGAGACATGGAGGAGATATTCAGAGCATCTTCATCTGCATCCTCCTCATCACTTTGCTCCTCGCTCTCATCCAGGACTCCATCAAACAGCTCATTTATTATCTCAGAGTTAACAGAGTCATCCACGTTCATCTCAATCTCACGCACTTCATCTATTTCTACAATGTAAACAAGAACGTTCATGATCAAAAACATGTAATGGGAATTAGCGATATAATAAGGTTTCAAAATATGACTGTTTAACTACTCATATTCCAATAAACATGAGAACAACTATAACATTACTATGAATAAAACAACATGAAAATGCAGCAAAGACATACATAATTGGACAGAACAAAGAAAATTAACAGCTGGATGACTTAGAAGAACACATTTAACTATATTATATAGTTTTTATAATAAAATACCTTTTTCACTAGATTTAGAAGGACTGTTGAGAACTTCAGGCACTGGCACAGAAGGCTCATTATTATGCACTGGCACAGAAGTCGGACTCTGTACAGACAGTTCAATTTCCTGAGGATAAAAAAAAAATGGTTATATTAAGTAACATTAAGTTCTTTGGCTTCCCATTCCTATCATAAAATTAAGTACTGGGTTTATAAAAGAGGCACAACAGACTTTGGAAAAACGAATAGCTCAAATCAAAGTCATAATTTATATTGCTATATTTCTCTTCAGTATCAGTGTGATTAGTATTAGTAGTTTTATTGATTTGGCTTTGTCATGTCAGCTACATGAAAACAAAGAAATTGTGATATTAAAAAATATTGATAAAACAGATTTTTTTACACTATATTTTATAGAAAAATATGGACTATAATCTTACTAGGGTTGCAAAGGGGCAGAAATATTCCAAGTTTGAAACTTACCAGGAATTTATGGGAATTAATTTTGTTTGATCATAGGCTCACATGCATGCAAACTAAAACAAACAAATTTAAAAAATGACTTTTGGATTGGATTGGGGGGGGGGGGGGGGGGGGGGGGGAATTAATTTAACACATCCTTGTTGAATAAAAGTATTAATTTATTAAAAAAATTAGAACATATACACTGACCCCAAATTTTTGAATGGTAGGGTATTGTTAAAAAGGGATTTCTATTTTAAATAAATGCTGTTTTTTTTTACTCTTTATTCAAAGAATCCGTAATAAAAAAAAATATATACATATTAAGCAGCACAATGGTTTCCAAAATTGATAATAAATCAGCATATTAGAATGATTTCTGAAGAATCATGTGACACTGAAGACTGGAGTAATGATGTAAAATTCAGCGTTGCATCACAGAAATACATTGTTTTAAAGTATATTAAAACAGAAAAACATTATTTTTAATTGTAATATCGGTAGTACCGCGCAATATTACCGTTTTGTTCTGCATTTTTGATCAAATAAATGAAGGCTTGATGAGCAAAAGATATGCAATGTTTAAAAACATTAAAAATAGTAATGTATCCAAACGTTTGACCAGTACTGTACTTCTGTATGATAACAGAAAACTGGCTACCAGAAAGAGCATCACAGCTTGAGCTAGCTAGCACATACCTCATAAATTGTCAATGAAATAGTGCTAACTCGCTTAGATTTTTCATATCTTGATTTACTGGCTAACTAGCTACTGTATAAACACTTTTTGGTATTTACTAGCAGGGCCGTCCTTAGCTGACGCGGGGTCCAGTGCGACCGCACCAGTTGTACCTCCTCAAAGGACGGCCCTGTTTACTAGTTAAACTTGAATCCAAAAGATCAAATAGATTTAGAATATCAAAACTTACATGTAGTCTTTGGGCTCAAATGCAGCAAGTGTGTCTTCAGAGAAAATGGAGGGCAAACCCCCTCTTAGGTGACTAAGGGCAGGGCTGTACAGTGCGACGAAAAAACTGGTCTGTGCGATGAATAAATTTACCACTGTAGCACGCGTGCGATACAGTTCTGCATGTTCATAACACAGCCGCTTAATAGTGTGAAGTGATTTCGTTGTGCTTGTTTGTGTGTGTGAGATTGATTATACTTGGTAGTTAAGGGGTGTGCGATATGACGATTTTTGATCGTGGACGATTAAAATGTCTCCACGATCTGCTTTTGAAGAAATATCGTTGTATCGTGCTACAGCGTGCTAACACCACATGCATTCACATCAGTGTTAGCTCAGCGGTAGAGTTACTTTCACGGGACACTGCACTTATGCGCAATCACAAAACTACATTATTTCCATCTGCTTTAAAGCAATACCGGTTAAACATTTAATTCACATGCTGTTCAGCATGCGCTTTTTCTGAGCGTGTATTCCTGAAGCGCGCTCACACTGAGAGCCTGTCAAAAATTGCCTGATTATTTGACTAAGTTGTCTTTCGTGTCTGATTGATTTCGCGTCTAATATACGGTCAAAAACACACAAGGTTTACATATAAACACAGTTGGTTATGTCTAAAACGAAAGTAAACAGTTGAGAGAGAGAAACGTGTGCAGCTCTTAAAGGGACAGTAGCTACCAAATATGCTGCCGACTATCATTAAAGGGATAGTTCACCCAAAAAAATTAATTTCTGTCATTATATACTCACTCACATTTTTTCCCCAAACCTGTATTAATTGCTTTATTGTGCTGAACACAAAAGAAGATATTTTGAAGAATGTGAGTAACCACACAGTAGCTGGTCCACACTGACTTTTACAGTAGGAAAACAATTCCATGGAAGTCACTGTGGACCAGCAACTGCTTGGTTACCCAAATTCTTCAAAAATAACTTATGTTCAACAGACGAAATAAACTACTTCAGGTTTAAACAACTTGAGTAAATGATGGTATAAAAATGAAAAAAATCACTCACTGTTCTTGACTGAAGAACTTAACAGTTAGTTGCTTTTAAAAAAGTATAATTGATGTATAGAGTATATAGTGTTTTATTTTAATATTTGTTCATTCAATTTCTTGAATGTTACTTCTAAATACTGTACCTGAAAAATAAAGCACTGTTTGTTTTATTTGTATATTATGTGTATTTGTAATGTATATCTGTGTTCTTATTTTCTAATAACAAAGATTTAAAAAATGACAGATTTTTATCTTTTCTCACTTTGGTCTAAATGTCTGTCATTCTGTTTTATTTTATATTTTGTCATGGTGTTATGTTTCTGCACTCTTCCATTTTTAGCACCATCCTTTTTTTTTGTCTAAAAACAATTGTTGTGATGGTTTGTATTTTTTGTGCTCTGTATGGGACATCAGTGCCTGATTAAGTGATGAACTCCATTATTGTGTTTGTTTTCAGACATGATAACAGACGTTTTATACTTGTGCTAGACCGGTCATGATAACAACTTTTTGTTGTGTGATATATTGTCCCAGAAATAATTGCGATAAGCAATATTATTGTCATTTAAAAGAACTTTTACGCCACTGAATATATAATCATAATGTAACAGCATAATAATGCAAGAAAGCCTACACACTTCCAAATGACAACAAACTTTAAATTTTTAAGAATATTTAGATCATGGAAATTAAGTATCAAAATATTAGATACCTTAAAAAAACCTGAATAAATAGAATCTCCATAAATAGTGTATGGAGATTCTTTCATCTACAGATTTTTCCCTGACCTTCTTCTCTCTATAAATTCAGGGTGCACACTATTGCTGAAAAACACAATCACTACTTAGCAGTCAGATGTTTGCATGAACAAAGGCACAGATCCCTAAACAAGACCATATCTGCAGATGAAACTTTTTTTTTTTGTAGAAGCATTGTTTTTTTTTTATTTGAACAAGCACCTCATGACTACGCCACGTTATGTACGAGAAGCTGCAAAAGACACGGGCGCAAGTGGAATTTACAAAACATGGTGACATTAATTTTTAAGTAAATATAATGGGCGATATATTGCATCACCAAAAATGTTTGAGGTCATGTACATATATTGCACGATAAGTCAATATATTGATTATTGCGACAGGCCTAGCATGTACTACAACATTTTGGCCTGTGCTACAAAACTTTCAACCTCTGTAGCACCAGTGCTATGTGAAAAACAATTTAACGTACAGCCCTGAAGGGGGATTATGTGTGGGGGAAAGTCATTTTTAGACTTCGGTTTTATTATCTCACCTAAATGTTTGTTCAATCAGTGTATTTGTTTTTACAATGGCTATTGTAAATATTCCTATTGTATAGCCTATTTTAGTTGCACAGTATATTACACGCAGCACAAGGGAAGTTTTTTTTTTTTTTTTTTAATATTCATGTAATTTACATGAATACTTACCAAGATGGACATTTTGATGTTTTGTGTGCAGGATATAAGAAATTATCCGTTCATGTTATGGAGGAAAGCACAGTGCATGTAGGGAGTGTGGCCTCAATAGCCCTGCAGTAAGCAGTGTGCATGCGATTGAGCAGTGTGTAGGGTAGAAATTAAACTGATATTGCATTAAATCTGTTTGTTTTAACCAAGATTATGTGGCAAGTTTTTTTTTTTCCAGTTTACTCCCATTAATTCCCATGGAAAGTTTCCAGTCTTGAAAATTCCCGGAATTTTGCAACCCTAAATCTTACACAATCAGATTGTGTTGCACTATCCCATTTACAAGCAGCAGCAGCAGAAAACATGATAGCAAACCTTGTTTTCAGGGTCATTCTTGACCTCACTGAGATTCTCTTTGCTCCTCAACTTGTTGCCTTTTTGAAATCGATTACGAATTTGTGCTAGCTCTGCCTCTCGCTCCTATTAATAATAAATAGGAGATTAGTGCTGATGTTTCATATGCAATTCAACAAATATGCCTTTTAAATATTTAAGAATACATGCCATTTTCTGCTTCTGAGTGAGGACAGCTGTAGTGGAGGTGGTCTGGGTGCACCCCAGCCTCTCCTGGAGCAGCCTGGACTTGGGGGTGGCAGAGGGAGTAGCCACAGGTGTGTGTCCTTGACCTCCTAATGCGGAGGGAGAATTCTGGTTGCGCTCCTGGCACCTTTCTCCAAAACGCTCCAAAAATGATTTGACACCTACTAAAGGTCAACATAAGCAAACATAAGTTCACAGGCTTACACTTCAGTGTAGAAAAAGAAGAAGAAGAAGAAGAGAAACAGCACTGACCAGTAGTTCCAGCTGGGCCTCTGTGCTGTAAGGGTGTTGTGTCCTTGGTAAACCTCTCACGAGTCTGATGTATGACGGAAACATCAGCAGTAGAAGAGGGTTTAGGTGTCAAAATTGGTTTTGCAGGGCTTGAATTAAGTGCTGCTCCAGAATTCAATTTAGATGGGCCCTGGTTCTTCAGGGGACTCTGAGAGATGCAACCTCTGTGTGGACTGGAGGGAGATGCTGTCAAAGATTTAAGTGGACTGGAGGGCTGAGTGGAGGGATAAACCTTTAGTGGGCTGGAAACAGGAGAGGGACCTGCTTGAGTCAGTCTGGGCTGAGGAAATTCTGTCTTCTGAGGACTAGGTGGAACCACTCTGGTTGACTTGACTGGAGAGTAAACTGTTGGCTATAAGAACAAACATTTTTATATCTTTTTACACAAGACTCTCCCCCCCTCACCAAAGACAGCGCACAACAAACACACAACACAACACAACCTTACATAATAAAAAGGATAGAACAGAATCTGTTGTTGGCGTGACCCACCTGCTGACCGCTGTCAACAGACTTGTGTGGAGCTGGTTGGGCAGTCTGAGGTCGTTCCACAGCAGGACTTGGCTTGGTACGGTTACTTGTCACTGTACTGACAGGAGGGTGCACACAGGCCGTGCCAGGCTGTGCTTGTGCATTGTCCCGGCGAGTGGGCGGGTGTCCAAGGTCATCTTCCCAGGAACCGATTGTGGCAGCAAGGTTTGCCAGTCTACCCTTTCTTCCAAAGGGGAGCTCAGAGTTTGTTGGGGTAGCAGTAGGGAGATCCACTTTGTGAGACTTCAGAGGAGATAAAACTACGTTCACTGGGACTGTTTCTGAGGTCCCTGAAAGCACAATTTTGTGTTTAATACATAGTTAGATTACTTATTTGTCATTCTGAGAGTCATATTATATACGATGTAGGGCTGTCACGATAACCGCAATACCGCGCTATTGACGAGCAAACCGCAGAGGAATGCAAGAACCGCAGCAACCGCGATTTTTGCGGGTTTTCTTTTTTCGTAAGGTTATGCCCTTCTCGTTTTACACTTCATGCATGTGGACTGAATATTAAACAAGTTAGTAATGATAACAATGTGTACCATGCTGATTTGTAGAGGCTCTGTAGATTTGCACTTAACAAGCCTAAACAGACAGTGAATGAGAGAGAGATCGACTGAGCGCGTGCGATTACTTGCGTCTATCCTACAGGCCGAGTCATATATATTTGTGAAAATAGGTTGTCATGTCCAAGGAAAGCGAAATCTCTGTCTTAGCATCGACGCATAGCTGGTCAGCTGAGCCTTCTAGTGGTGCTCAAAGTTAAAATGCTTTCAACAGCGTGTTTCATTACGTCTCTCGGAATGAATGAATCAGCGTTTTTGAACGTGTAGTTGAATGACAGTCACTTTCCACCACCTTGTGGCGCAACACTGTAACTGCACTGACTGACAGCCCGTCTAGAACGTGCGCAGGTGGAAATATCAATAGAAAGTCTCTTGTCCAGTCAGATTAGAAAATCAGATTACAACTAGGCTAACTGTTATACATATAGGCTAACGATAGCCTAACGATCTTATTGTCAGGTATATGTTCTGTTATGTGGATTGTTATTTTGTCATTCTCTTCCGTTTACTTCACTTCCTGTTTCAGGGTGTCTACAGATATGAACAAGTTAAATGTAAGACTTAAGACCTTTTTAATACCACCTTATGTGAAATTTAAGACCAAGCCTGTGATGGAAACACACATTACATACGTATATGTAATATTTAAAGCGTTTAAATGTAAAAATGTAGAAAAATATCATTGCTGTCAAAAATTCTATTTGTTATTACGATATACAGTGAACTTTTGATTACAACTAGGCTAACTGTTATACATATAGGCTAACGATAGCCTAACGATCTTATTGTCAGGTATATGTTCTGTTATGTGGACTGTTATTTTGTCATTCTCTTCCGTTTACTTCACTTCCTGTTTCAGGGTGTCTACAGATATGAACAAGTTAAATTTAAGACTTAAGACCTTTTTAATACCACCTTATGTGAAATTTAAGACCAAGCCTGTGATGGAAACACACATTACATACGTATATGTAATATTTAAAGCGTTTAAATGTAAAAATGTAGAAAAATATCATTGCTGTCAAAAATTCTATTTGTTATTACGATATACAGTGAACTTTTCATATCAGCAGACAATATCCCATACAAAATATTCCCACAAAACAAAAGTGTCGCATCACCGAGATTTTTGGTGGTGTAAACAATGTTAAAATGTTTTTAACATTTACCACAGGATGTCATTTACCTTTATAAAGGCCAATCTTTTTTTTTTACCTTATTAAATGTATGCGTCATCTTTCAAGTCAAAATCTTACAATTGATCAATAAATGTAATACACTACAGGGCTGTTACCAATCAAATTAAATAATTACAAAATTACAACAGCCAATAAATAATGTTATGGGATTAATGTTGTAAATTAAATTTTGAACATACAAATAAGAAATGTTGGGGAAAAATGCATGCTTTTAAGCATGAGACTAAACCGCCAGTAGGTGGCGGTAAGTCACTTATTCGGATGTCATTTACCTTTATAAAGGCCAATCTTTTTTTTTTACCTTATTAAATGTATGCGTCATCTTTCAAGTGAAATTCTTACAATTGATCAAGAAATTTAATACACTACAGGGCTGTTACCAATCAAATTAAATTACAAAATTACAACAGCAATAAATAATGTTATGGGATTAATGTTGTAAATTAAATTTTGAACATACAAATAAGAAATGTTGGGGAAAAATGCATGCTTTTAAGCATGAGACTAAACCGCCAGTAGGTGGCAGTAAGTCACTTATTCATTCAACCGATTCCTTCAAACCTCTGAATCATTCAGTAACAATGTCAGGTGTGGCTTGGAGAATGTGTGCAATAATTCTGTTCTGATCTTTGTTTGGAACTATTGAAATAGAACAAAACTCAATTGTGTCTAAAAATGTAAGTAACTTCATATACTTTATTTATATACTTGTTTGTTGAACTAAAATCAATGTAACATTTGCAATCGTGAAAATATTCAGCAAAATAGATCCCTTGTTCATGGTATGTTACTTGACTATATCATGCTATAAATAAACTAAACATTTAGAATTTTTACCTCAGTATGTTTGTTCTGTGAGTTTCTTTGTGTGCCGTACGCTCATTTGATTTGATTTCTCCATGAAAGTCTCTCACAGAGACAGGCAGCACGAGCCTCAACAGCGCGACATTGATCATAGAAATACACTATCAATCGCTGTTTAAGCTAAATGTAATAAAATCAGAAGAATCATTTGCGCGTTTTGATGCGTGATTTTATTGTCACTTAATTTTAATCAGGCTATTAGTCCTGTTGGGCAAGTACAATTCTCAAGCCATTTTTCAGTAAACTTGCATTAACCCATTTAAAGTACCGTATTGACCCGAATATAAGACAATGTTTTTTTCTTGGAAATACATCTGAGATTTGGCTTTTAAAAAGCCTTTTTCCAAAAGGTACATCTGGAAAAAGGGCGGCTGTCTTATATTCGGGCCAATACGGTAGTTCGGAGGCTGGACAGCGAGCTGGTGCTCGACTGTATTCTGTAACCGCAATTCTCTCTGATGACGCAGTAACTACAGCGGAGAAAAAGTACTCTTGATGGACACTCACTGGGTCCGTCAGACTGGAGCAGTTCCTTTTTATCATGCATGGGTTCCGTTTATCTGCACTGATCATCTCCGAGCGTGAACAAACCAGCGGCTCATTCTAGCAGAACATCTCACACTCATGATTAACAGCCCCCGTTACTGAGCAAGACCGAACACATTCCTGCAGTGTGGCTGTTGGTTGGCTGTCTCCCAGGGAATGAGTGGAAATTTCAGTTAGTGAGGATTTCATGTCCATGGAATTTTGTCATGTGACCCTGTAGAGGAATCCTATTGGCTAGAGTCAAATCAGGCTTCCTGTATTCAACCAGAGCCACACGTTATGGGCACAGCCCTGACAGCTATTGTTTTTTCCTTATTCAAAAACATTTTATATTGAAATGGCTGATATTTAGATGTAGCAAGATATTCAATTCAGATATCTCAAGGATTGAATGCACTGTGCTTATTCAGAGCCTACTTTGCATTTTGACAAAAACCTTAAAAAAAACCGTTAACATCGGCTCATTGAATACAGAAACAACCATAACGTACTCAAACAATAGACAAAACAACACAATCCAAGAGATGTTAACTTAAGTGATTTAAAGTCAAACACGTATAACAGAATATTTTTTAAAAAGGCGAATATGACTGGCCTCAAAACAACACAAAAACATCAGCATGACACATTTTCAGCATCAGTTTGTTTAAATTATATTGCAAGTAAAAGTAACGTTAGCTTTATTATATGCTAGCTTATGATCAAGTAGACAAGCATTAGCTTTACTCAAACGTTACACTATAAATAAAAACGGCAAAACGACACGTTATAAGCTAATAAGTAGCTTAATAGGTCAATAAAATGATAAGTTAATAAGTAAACGACGGTACACGGTGGACTGGTGCTAACGTTAGTTTATATCCATAC